CTCCTGGGCATGTCGAGCCTTATAATTCTGTGGATCCAATAATACCGAGAGAGGGAGAGAGAGAGAGAGAGAGAGAGAGAGAGAGAGAGAGAGAGAGAGAGAGAGAGAGAAACATCAATCAGTTACCTCCCATAGGTACCCTGACCAGGAACTGAACTCACAACCTGGGCTTGTGTCCTGACTTGAAATTGAACCAGTGACTTTTTGGTGCATGGGACAACACTCAAAAAACTGAGCCTGGCATGCCCAGTCATTTTTAATCCAAACCAAGAATGAAGTGAGCATGGCTTGCTCTAAAACTTTATGTTTTCCATGATTCTAGTATTGGAGCTTACATCAGGCTCCATACAACATTCTACCATGGACACTTAAAAACCATCCAGCCCATAAAAGGTAATTATCAGAGTAGTTCTCACAGCAATTGAGACCAGGTGGACTTCTCTTGCTCTAGGTTCTATTCAAAGCTGTTTTTTTAGGTCACACTATACACCAGTGAAAGCTGCCCAGAGATGGTGTTGCCCGTGCTGGTTTCCTACTCATTAGCTGGTCTTCACTTCTCCCTTATACACAGACTCTGATTTTAGCCAAGTAATACTCAATAATGAGCTCAGGGTAGGTGGTACTCTCGCTCAGCTCCATAAGTCACATTATGATTGGTCTTATCCCATTCCTCTTTGCTAGGGACTGATTTGGGATTGACATCTGACTCCATTCTGGTGAGTGAGACATTAGCAGGGGTCTGCCTGAGGAAGAGGGAGTGAGGGAGTGATTTCCCTCTTGGTAAAAAAAAAAAAAAAAAAACCATGGAGGAGGATAATGAGAAGATCCCTTCCTTCCTGCCTCTGCATGTTGTCATGTAAGGATATGACAGCCTGGAGCTTCAGGTGCCCTCTTGCAACTATGATGAGAAAGAGAAGAGGGTGGCAGAGCAGCTGAACTAGAGCCCTGGCATCACTGAGCTGCAGAATTCACCATTCTCTTTCATTAAACTGTCCAGCCCTTTTAGAAGCAAACATCTACCCCCACAGGCTTTGAATGAAATGCACTTTATACTCTGCTGTGGCAAAACCTTGTAGTCCCCAAGGCTATAGTAATTGTCTTCAGTAATTTTCATGCCAGGAAATCAGAGTTGACTTATTAACTGTTCCACCCCTAAATGCCCGAAGATACTCTACTCAGAGTCAACTGAATGTTCACTGCTTTCACCCTCAACCAGGGCAGGTAATTAATTCCAGACTGACCCATTCCCCTAGTAGTCACAGAAATCAATTCTTGCTAATTAATTTAAATTAATTCTTTAAAATAATAAAGAATGTGTTAAAAGGATATTGGGTAGCGCATAAAATTACCAGGAGGACTATATAATACTTTAAGAAATAGACAGCTTGCCGAAACCGATTTGGCTCAGTGGTAGAGAGTCGGTCTGCAGACTGAAGGGTCCCAGGTTCGATTCCGGTCAGGGGCATGTACATTGGTTGCGGGCACATCCCCAGTGGGGGGTGTGCAAGAGGCAGCTGGTCAATGTTTCTCTCTCATCGACGTTTCTGGCTCTCTATCTCTCTCCCTTCCTCTCTTTAAAAAATCAATAAAATATATATTTTTTAAATAAAATAATAAAATAAAAAAAGAAATATACAGCTTGCTATTATGTACAAACCTTGCAGCGAATGATTGGGCACCATTTTGCTGGCCCTCAGACCTCGGATGCTGTATGCTGAACCACCAATCCCACCCCTGAGCATAGGACTGGCGTGGCTGCCATTGCTGCCCCAGGAAATTAAATCAGAAGGAAGGAAGGAAGGAAGGAAGGAAGGAAGGAAGGAAGGAAGGAAGGAAGGAAGGAAGGAAGGAAGGGAGGGAGGGAGGGAGGGAGGGAGGGAGGGAGGGAGGGAGGGAGGGAGGGAGGGAGGGAGGGAGAGAGGGAGGGAGGGAGGGAGGGAGGGAGGGAGGGAGGAAGGAAGGACAGTGCTGCTTATTCTCCCTCCCGTTCTCCATCTTTCCCACTCTGACGGCTACTGCTTCATACCCCTTCCATTGCCCAGCCTAGAAGGGAAAGGAAATTTAGAGGAAAAAACTACACTTCACATGACCAGAACTGTTGCAATCAGATATTGATGTTCTTTGGGTGTAGCATCTTTGAAATACTGGAGTTCTTCGTGATTTGGGGGATTTCTGTGAGTTTCACAAAGAAACCTCTGCCCCATTAGGAATCCCCTACCTCCAATTTCTCTATTGGGATGATCCTTTCCACAATGGACCAACTAAGACTCTGGCTTCAGCCCTGGGCTTTCACCAGTCACCTTTACCTCTCCAGGTAGATTTCTTGGTAAAGTTCCCTTTAAGATTATCTAAAACTGTATCCCTGTGCAGGGTCCACATTTGGTCCATGGAAAATACACTTGTGTCCTTGTCCCCACTAAACCCTGCTCTGCTTCATTCTGTTACCAGACAGGCTGTTCTACGTGCCTCTGGCCATACATTTCTTTATTTCAGATACCAGACCTTGAGACCTCCAGCTTCCAGAGAAAACATCTGAAGCTTTTTGAGTGGTTTTCTTCTCTTGGCTTCGGATGAGGGGGAATGCTTCCCTCATCTTCACCAGGAGGTAGAAAGAGCACATCCAACACGTGGACAACTCTGTCCAAAGAGACCTTCCCTCCTGACCATTTCTGCCCTTCACCACAAATTCTTTGCCCTCCCCTACAAATAGAAGAGCTAATACTGGCAGTTGAAAGGTGATGCATCCCACATTAAGTAATCTAGTACCTGGCCTTAGAATGTGGGGGCAAAAATGGTACCCATGTTGCTTGGCCTTAGAATTTTTAGCCAAAACTGAGGCAGTATGAAAAGTCATCTTTGAATTTCCTGTTACATTTAATCATGGAATAATACCTTGCTCTTCTCCATCCTGTCAGGTTTTCCAGAGGCTCCAGGATCCCTGTTAGAAAAAGATATGCTTAGGTTATTTACAAGAATGGATAACTCACAATATGTTATTGGCTACAAAAAATACAAGGAAAATTCTCTTCTTCATAGAACCACCTTGAGGGAGTCTCTGACTCCCAATTCTATAATATGTGTTTATCTTGAAAAAGTAACAGGAAAAAAACTGCACAACACAATTTGGATCTGCAGCTGCAAGTTAGATGGCCACCTTCTCTGAATGCCAAGGGTATGCGAGAGAAAGGATTTGATGGGTAGCTTTGGAACCTCTGTATTGAACAGAATTAGTACCAATCACTTCTGGCTCCCTCCTGTTCAACCCATCGGGGCTTTCTTCAGTTCAGACAGTTTTCTGCTCCAATTCATGGGGGCTACAGCAAGGGCTATCTTTGCCTCTCTAAGGAAGTATGTACTCAAACAATGCCTACTAGAGCTAGGGGGAGGGGGAGTTCCCTTCAAAACATAGCAGACATTTAAGGCTTTATGAATTCTTCCCTTCAATTCGCTCAGTATTTATCTTTCTTGTAAGCACTAAGAAATATGCTTCAACTTTATTGAAATCTGCTTGACTATGACAACTGAACATTTTCTTGCCTGTTAGAAAGTCCAAAATGACAGGTCACTTTCACCTAATAAGTCCGTCAGTTCAAAATATACTGACCTATTTTCTTAGGAGTCAGAATTAAGTAAATGTTAGCACTGTCTCTCATTGTTTCCTGTCTTCTGCTAGCTGAAATGGAGAAAGGTAGGTCAAGAATTTAACAAAGAGCCTGCTTCCAAATGATACCTGGTGTTTGAGATTCTCCCACACTTCTGTATTTGAAGCTGCTATGCTGCTCATTTTGTGATCTGTATTTGTAAAATACCTGCCTCCTGCCTGGTCATGTTATTTCCAATACAGTCCACACTAGCAAAGTCTCTAAAGGGACTGAGAGTCTCTACTTTCACTTTATAACAATTTTATCCTTCTCATAGGATGTACAAATCTACTATTAATTCCTGTCTATGATTTTAAAAAATATATTTTATGTCCGGGGCAGCTGGAATAGGAGCCTAGGACGTTTGCCTGAATGGGTTCCCCCGTTCTTGGTGTCTCTTTTCTCATTCTCCCGCTCAGTTTTCCCTCTCGATGGAGAACCTTGAAGGGCTTTATCTTACTCATCTTGCATCCTCCACACATAGCAGCGCATACGAAGTGCCGGGAGCACCCAGACTGGGCAGCTCTCCCGGTTCCTCACGTGCCTCCGGTGAAACTCCTGGCCCCTCACCTTCCACCTCTCTCCCTTGTGAGACTGATCTGCGCTGCCTCGGCTACAGTTACACGAGGAAACCCCTTCCTGGCACAGACGGGTTTGCGGTCAGGCGTGAGCACAGCCGGGACACGCCGCTAACCCAGCCTCGCCCACACCCGGGGCAAGACCTCCCGTCACCGCCAGAGTGCGCCCGCGCCGCACCCCCAGCCCCGCCCATCCCTCCCAAGGCCTCGCAGACTCCGCCCCACGCCTCGCCCCGCCCCCCGGCGTCGGAGGAGGCGGGACTACGCCGAAGGCAAGCCCCAGCCACGTCCCGCCCCTCCCCGCCCCGCCCCGTGCGTCCGGCACACGCCCCACCTACGTCCCAACTGGGGGCTGTACGGCGCAAGCCCCTCCCACGCCTCGCCACGCCCCATGCGTCGGGCACACGCCCCACCACATCCCAACTGTGAGGCGCAAGCCCCACCTATGCTGAGCCGCGCCACGCCCCCTGCGTCCGGCACACGCCCCGCCCACATCCCGACTGTGCGGCGCAAGCCCCGCCTATGCTGAGCCGCGCCACGCCCCCTGCGTCCGGCACACGCCCCGCCCACATCCCGACTGTGCGGCGCAAACCCCGCCTATGCTGAGCCGCGCCACGCCCCCTGCGTCCGGCGCACGCCCCGCCCACATACCGACTGTGCGGCGCAAGCCCCACCTATGCTGAGCCGCGCCACGCCCCCTGCGTCCGGCACACGCCCCGCCCACATCCCGACTGCTTGGCCCGCCCCGGATGCCCACGCGCGCAGACCCGCTCCCGAGGGCATGGCGAACCAGGTAGCGTAGGGCCTGCCGCGGGCCCGAGTCCGGGGATGCGGGGGACGGGGAGCGTAGCCTGGAACCGGGCCGCTGGGCACCGGAGCCGGAACGGGGCCTCGGAGAGACGGTTCAGCGGGAAGGAAGCTTTGTTTCGCCTCGTCACTCGGGAGGGTTTTGCGCTTCTGGGCAGCTGCAGCGGAGCGGGGAGAACGGGGGAGGGGGGCCAGGGTGGTCGGTTTGCATCCCGGTGAAATGGCTCACGGGCCACGCTTTGCCTGTGCAAAGGGCACAGCAGGTTCTTTTGTTCACGGTTATTTCGTTCCTAAAGGTGATCAGATGCCGTAGGAGCTTCACTCTGCTTTGTATTAATTAGCATAAGGTAGGATTAGATTCCTAAAACGTCGTTTTGCCTTAAGTGGCAGAGCCTATCCAGGACTTACTGTGACTTGCCCAGGATCATACTTGCAGGTGCAAAATTATAATTCCTATTACAGTTCAGGTGTTGAAGTGAGGCAGTTGCCCGTGATTTAGAATGGGGCTTTGTTTCGATTAGAAGTGTCACTGAAAGGAAGAGTTTAAACTCCTCTAAAACATTCTTTAAAAGTGGCGGGTGTAGGGGTAGAATAAAACATATGGATGAGCTATTGTTGCTTCACATCTCTAGTGTACAATATGACTTCATTGATACTATTCTGAATTTGACCTTTGAGGTTTAGGGTACATAGAGGTGAAAAGGATTCCAGTGCAGTGTCTGGATTTTTTTTTTTTTTTTGTACCATCAGATTTAATATCTACATTTTAACTTTAAAAGCAAAATTTATCACGTCACCAACTTACACAAGTTTCATCCTATATAATCCTGTATAATAAAGAGCTAATATGTTAATTAGACCAGACTGCTGAACTACCTTCCAGGACGATCCAGGTCTACCAGTGTTGGGGAGGGGCAGGGGGCAGGCGGTGCCAAGCCCCTTGCACATGCATGGGGCCTCTAGTCTCTATATACAGTTTAACTCTCCTCTCCCCTGCACTGTTTCACTGCTACTAATAACTACCCTGTTATTAGTTATTGCAAAGCTACCCTGTGCCAAAGACTGTATTAGGGGCTTCATATTCATTCTCACTCACCCTTCACAATTACCCGGAATGTAGGTGTTTTATCACCATTTGTAACTCTTCTCCGTATCCCAGTTAAAAATGATGGTTCTCAAACTCACTGCCAAAGTTACACTCTCCACTTTTTGAATTCTGTAGCACTGTGTGCCTCTCCCTTTAAATCACACTTTTTGTAATTATTGACTTTCCAGTCTGTCTCCTATAAACCCTGTGGCTTTCAACCTTTATTCTGCCAACTTGTTTCATAACCATTATGTAACTGATCGAAATCTTCCCTGTTACATCTGATTCTCCAGTAACGGAGGAGTGTACTAGAATCTCTAGGGCAACATTATGCTATAGAAATATAATACAATTGGCATATGTAATTTTAACTTTTCTATTAGTCATATCAAAAAACATTAAAATCATGTTCAAATTTAATCCAACATATTGAAAATACTATCTCAACATGTAATCACTTTTTAAAATATTATTGAAGTATTTTTTTTGTACTAAGTCTTCAAAATCTTACAGCTTAACTGAGTTCAGATTGGCCACTTTTCAAGTGCTCAGTAGCCACAGGTGGCAAGTGAATAATGTACTGGATAGTACTTTTAAAATGGATAGGAATAGCCTGACCGGCTGGTGTTGCTCAATGGTAGAACAACCTGGATATGTGCCCTGATGGGGAATCAAACCTGCCACCTTTTGGTGTATAGGACAGTGCTCCAACCAGCTAAGCCACACCAGGGTGATAGGAATGGTTTTCTAAATTTCCCCCATTCTGGTACTCCTTACTGGTACATTCCTTCCCATCCTATGGTTTTATATTACAGCAATGTTACTTACACCAACCGGAACAAAATGTCACGGTACGTGTTAAGCATTCAGATTCCTTGGGTCCTATGGCAGACCTACTGACTCAGATTCTCTTAGACCTGTATTCTTAGCCTGTTCCTGTAGAATATCATTAAGTATTCCATGCATAAAACTTTTCAACCAGAAGAGGCTTTTATATCTGACCAAAGGTCATCTAAGTTAAATATTTTAATGAATATTACTTATACAAAATCTAAAAAACAGGCGGAACAATTCTCTGTATCACTTAGAAGTACATGTTTCTTTTTCTTTTATTAATATATTTTTATTGATTTCAGAGAGGAAGGGAGAGGGAGGGAGAGATAGAAACATCAGTGATGATAGTCGATCAGCGGCCTCCTGCACACCGCCACCCAGGCATGAGCCCTGACCCCGGGAATCGAACCACAGACCCTTCAGTCCAAAGGCCGATGCTCTATCCACTGAGCCAACCGGCTAGGGCATTGCTTGTTTCTTTGTGAATCTTTGATATACTAATACTTCCTAAGATTAGCATTCATCAGTATCTAAATTAACTAATAAGTAGTTCATTATTCATTCAGGTGAATAAACAACCTGCTCTTTTTTTTCCCCATTTCAGGTGATCAAGTGCAAGGCAGCCGTTGCCTGGGAGGCCGGGAAGCCTCTCTCCATTGAGGAGGTAGAGGTGGCACCCCCAAAGGCTCATGAAATTCGAATTAAGGTAATGTTACATCTAAGGCAGTGGAAAAGATGACTTACAATTAGGTCTCTAGATAGATTAATACTCTTGAGTTCTGCAAAGGATAAATCCCAAAGGAGAGTGTCGAGAACAAGGTATTGGAAGTCTTCCAACCACAGAATCACAACATCCTCCTCTTATTTTATCCCTCCTTTGTATTCCTCCCATCTTGTAGCTTTGATGGTGGGCTGAGCAGCCTGCCCCAGGGGTCACTGGATGACTGCAGTTTATTTCTGTAGCCTAAGTTTAAGGTGACTTTGCCAGATGTTCCCCTTTCTGCTGATCCCATAACTTAAAATGTATGGTGACACATTAGAAACAAAAGAAAAAGAAGTGGCCTTTAGTTTTGTTAGGTGAAACTTCAAATAAGATTTGGGAAGAGGCTCCTGATCAACTGGAGCAACAACCAAGTAAAGTCATCTTGATTAGAGAGCTTTAAATACTGACCCTTGCAGACAGGGCCCGAGTTCAAGGGATGCATTTATTATTCCAGTGCTTAATGAAGCTATCCCAGAGAAAGGCATAGTTCACAAAGCCACCAGCTGGGTGTTTTTAGCATTCTTCTCTTTGTTTTGATGTAAAATTAATGGTTTAAAGTAGTGACCTTTGCCCTGGCCCGTGTGGCTCTGTTGGTTGGGCATCATCCCATGCATAGGAGGTCACCAGTTCAATTCCCAATCAGGGTACATGCCCAGGTTTCCGGCTTGATCCCCAGTAGGGAGTGTGATTGATATTAGACTCTTACATCAGTGTTTCTCTCTTCCTCTTCCTCTCTAAAAAAAAAATAAATAAAAAATCAATAAAAATATTTTTAAAAAATAAAATAGTGACCATTAAATAAAATTAACATCCTAAAAAAATCAGGTTTTTTGTTTGTTTGTTTGTTTTTTTGCTATAAACTGGAGTAAAGGTCCCTGGTCCTACTTCCAAACACACAGCACATAAACACATATTGACTCATGCTCCCAGGGATTCCACATATCAGGTCAAGAAGCACAAATAACTTTTCAAGATCCTTTTCAACCCAAACCCAGAAATCTGAAATATTTTAGTAGTTAAATTCAGAAACTAACCAGGTTGTGATTTTGCCCCTGCAAAAGAAAATGTTTTGTCCTGAATGTATTGTTTGGGGTACACTGAGTTCAGCTGTCTTTCCTGGGACTGCCAATAAATAGCAAATAACGTTACATTGTCAGTGGGTATGTAAGCGAGAAGCAGAGGAGTGTAAGTACATTCTAAGATTTTCTCTTTGTGCTTCTTTGGTGGTTTGGAAAGAACATCATTAAAAGAGATAGGGATAAAGGATTTATTTAAACAAATTTGTTTGTGTGCTAAAAGGGAGTTGGTTCCACTAAAAGCTGAGTTTTAGTGCAGACCAAGCAGGCTGGCATATTTCAGAAATAATCCATACCTTTGTAGAAATACCATTTCCCAACAGGCCTGAAGAGCCCAGCGGTGAAATGGCTTCACACACAGATGCTCTTCCTCTTCACCTTATTTGCTTTGTCTTGCTAATATGCACTGAAAAGGAGAATAGATGTGCCATCTGTTATTGAATGTAAATACACTATAATGTACTACGAAGAAAAGCCTGCCAATTCTAGTTGTTAAGATGTCATCTATTTGTAAGCATATACTGGTTTTAGAGAGAAAAGTTTTCTGGTGTGAAAGAAAAGTATTTTGGAATAAGTGGAATATATTAAAATAAAAGGGCCTTTCCTTTGATGCCTCACTCTGAGTTGCATGCACACACACTGAAATGCTCTTTATGAATATCCTGATAGATTATTGCCACTGCAGTGTGCCACACTGATGCCTACACCCTGAGTGGGGCTGATCCTGAAGGCAGTTTTCCAGTGATCTTGGGGCACGAAGGTGCTGGAATCGTGGAAAGTGTTGGCGTAGGAGTTACTAAGCTAAAAGCAGGTAAGAGGGCATTTGAACCACTTATTTTACACCTCCATAGGGAAATAACATTTCTGATCAGCTACCCATTGTTTACTTATGAACAAATTATCACCTAAGAAAGTTGTGAAGATTGATTTTATTCCTCACCCAGGAAGCATAAATGGAGGGTGGGCAAAAGTAAGTTGCAGTTGTTTGTATGGAAAATAATACAATAACTAATAAATAATAATACCAGAATAAACTCTGTGTTTCCCATAGTCACAACTGTGAAACTACTTTTGCCCACCCCATAGTTGATGGGTTTTTTTTCCTCTGAGTTTGCAGACTGCTGTTCATCTGAAACTGTTAAAAACATTTCGGAAGTCAGTTTCTAAACAAGAATTTTTAAAGATGCATCAGTGAGTCAGTAGTTTGAGGCACATGACTCCTTGTTCTCCAGTTATTGTTTTGAAAAGTTTCCTTTAGTCAAAATTTTGAAACTTGTATTTTTTGTTGTCAGGCTTCATCTAAATGATGTTATGTAGGTGAAGTTCTAAGCCTTAAAGAGCTTAACTTTCAAAGCCGAATGAGCTAACAGGAATAGGCATTTGCAGGGGCTGATACATTCATTAGGAATAGATGCCACGTATCCAGGATAATGTCTTTGCATTCATTTCCCAGGTGATACTGTCATCCCACTTTACATCCCTCAATGTGGAGAATGCAAATTCTGTCTAAATCCTAAAACAAACCTTTGCCAGAAAATAAGGTTAGTATCTTTTTGCTCTTTGTTTCCGGTAATATTTCTATTTTTCTCTCAAATAACTTGTATTTACTTTTGAATCTAAAGGCAATCTGATTCTCTTCATCTGTGTATTTGTTTATTCATATGTATCCCAAAGGGTTTGTCTAAGAGTGTACATCAAATTGTTACCTGGCGGGGTCTGGGCCCAGAGCGGGTCTGCCTTGAGCCGGCTGGTAGCATGTGAGTTCTTCAGGCAGGAAAGATTTCATGAAAGGATTCCAGGTGATTTTGAGAATACATTAATTAAAACTGACAGTGAAAAAAGGGAAGAGTTAAAGGTAGAAGAAGCAGCAAGAGAGAGAGAAGGCAGAGCGGCTTTGGCTCTCTGAGAAATAGAAGTTTCAGGAAAAGAAGTGAGCCAGGGAGAGGCTGCTGTTAGCTCACTGGAAAGTCAGAGAAAAGGGAGCCTTGGAGATAGGTTCAGGGGTAAGCCCAAGATGAGATGCCGCTGCCCGCTGCTCCCCTGGTTGCAACTCTTGTGGGTTAGAAAAAGCAGAGATGCAAGGCACAGGCATGCTATAGTGAGAGTGCACTGTTGCTTCTTTGTTTTGAGGCATTTTCTCTTCAGCCAGTGGAAATCCAAGTGGAGGTTTCAGAGGAGGGTCTTAACAGAATACTCATTAGCTTTCCAGGTGTGTCCTTCAATATGTTGATTCATCAAAATGTGTGTATGGAGGGATCAGGGATAATTTTCTGGTTAGTTTAATTTTAAAACGATTTCATCAACGAGGGACTGGGATGAGGCCAGGCTTCCCCAAGACAATCTGGAGTGTGTAAACCAAGCATGTCAAACTCACCGCAACCTCGCATGTCAAACTTGCTGCAAGTTTGACATGTTTGGTGTAAACAATTTGCTCCTAAGTGCCCTTGGTTAGGGAAGGTGAAACCTTGTGATTCATTAGCTGGCTGTAAATTACTCAAATTGTTTTGCCTTGTTTAATTATCTTCTCTCAGATTCCCATATTCTGCTTCCCTAGCTTCTTACTACCCTGCTTTAAAAATTATAGTGTTTATTTTTATTAACAAATAACAAATATTTATTAAGCACTCTGCTAATACTTTACATAACATCTCATTTGATATTTTTCTTTTTTTTTTCTATGAGAAAGACTTATTCTCTGTATTTTCTTTTTTTTTAAATATATGTTATTGATTTTTACAGAGAGGAAGGGAGAGGAATAGTTAGAAACATCTATGAGAGAGAAACATCGATCAGCTGCCTCCTGTACACTCCCTACTGGGAATGTGCCCTCAACCAAGATCAAGGTATATGCCCTTGACTGGAATTGAACCTGGGACCCTTCAGTCTGCAGGCCGATGCTCTATCCACTGAGCCAAACCAGTTAGGGCTGTTCTCTGTATTTTCTAGAGAGGAAACTGAAAGTCCAGGATAGGTTAACTTGCCCAACATTATACAGGATTTGAGACCAAGGTGTGTCCCTGAATTTAGGGCTCATCCTCTTAAACGAGATACTATATCACCTATAAATTTAGAATATCTAAAATAATTTTTACTAACATGTATTATATCAGTTGCCTTTGTAAGTTTGCTCTCCCACCCCCAACCCCATTATTATAACCAACTATATGGGCAGAAAACTAAGTGAAGAGAGGAAGTAACTTGAATCCTTGAGGATTGTTACACTTCTGAAAAGGCCTGCTAAAAGGCCTAAATTAGCCAGTTTGGCCATCTGTTTTCCTTAGCCGACTGGATTATTCATTGCATGTGGTCTTTGTGTAAATGCTGGGTTTAGCTTTATGCTTTATGAAGTTACATTTGCTCACAGTGTTATGATGGAATTTTAAAATAATTTTATCTGATCCATAAGTTGTACCTGTTAAAAATTATTTCAATACTCTGATAGTAAGATCCAAAAGAATACTGAACGTTGAAAAACATATGAGGTTATAAATCTCTTACAAGTTTCTCTATTGTTGAAAGATAACTGATTAATACATACATTAGGAATTGGACTTTTTGTCTTAGCACACTTTTCTAACTATTTATTAGTTGTTGTTGTTTTTTAATAATTCTTTTTCTTATAGGTTTTAGGGAACCTAATTCTATCCTGCCTTTTTCCTTTTCTGTTTTTTTAGAGTCACTCAAGGGAAAGGATTAATGCCAGATGGCACTAGCAGATTTACTTGCAAAGGAAAGAAAATTTTACATTACATGGGAACCAGTACATTCTCTGAATACACAGTTGTGGCTGACATCTCTGTTGCTAAAATTGATCCTTCAGCACCTTTGGATAAAGTCTGCCTCCTGGGTTGTGGCATTTCCACTGGCTACGGTGCTGCTGTGAACACTGCCAAGGTAAGTGTTGGCCTGGCTTTTAGCTTCCACCTTCTAATTTGATACAACAAAGCTTTGCTGAAATAATTAAATTGGTCCGATCTGTAAGAAACCTAGTGACTTTCTTGACTCTTGTGGAAGCAGTACCTCACAGACTGTCTTTCTGTTAGGTGGAGCCTGGCTCTACTTGTGCCATCTTTGGCCTAGGAGGAGTTGGATTGGCGGTTATCATGGGCTGCAAGGTAGCTGGTGCATCCCGGATCATTGGTGTGGATATCAATAAAAATAAATTTGCAAGGGCCAAGGAGTTTGGAGCCTGTGAATGTATCAGCCCCCAGGACTTCAGTAAACCCATCCAGGAAGTGCTCGTTGAGATGACTGATGGGGGAGTAGACTACTCCTTTGAGTGTATTGGTAATGTGAAAGTCATGGTAAGTATGCTTGGTTGGCTTCATTTCTCTCTCTCTCTTTCTCCTTCTCTCTCTCTCTCTCTCTCTTTCTCTCTCTCTTTTTTCTCTTTCACTAGCTGCTTTTATGAAAAATATATATTTCTACTTATTTCAGAGAGGAAGGGGGAGAGATAGAAACATCAATGATGAGAGAGAATCATTAATCAACTGCCTCCTGCACCACCCCCTACTGGGCATGTGCCCCATCCAGGAATCAAACCGTGACCTGGTCATAGGTCAGTGCTCAACCATTGAGCCATGCTTGCTGGGCTGTAACTGCTTTTTTAATGCAGTTTTCTTAAGATTTAAAGTTGTTTTATTTTTATAAAGGAGAAGTCTCAGTAAGAATTATTCAGGAAAAATAATGATTTGAACTACAAATGGAAAGTTACATGAGTGACTCAGGGAAGGATGAAGAAAAATGTTTCTTTGCCTTCCAGGTATGCTGAATCTTAGAGTATGTCTGCTTAAGTAAAGAGGCAGAATGGTGCCTTTGTAGAGAGCATGCGTGAAAGTAGATAAACACCCGCATGCTAAATCAGTGACCCTGAACAATGACGTCTCTAGATCTCAGTTTCCTCTTGTGTAAAATACAGACAGTAAAGCCCCTACTTTGATACAAAGTAGGCATTCAGCAAAAGTATCAGAATTACTTCTCTGCATGCTTCTTTTATTAAAGTCTATAGAATTTTGAGTTGGTATTTACTTTTAAAAATGGACAGCAAGTAAAAGCTTTAAATCCATCCCATTTGTGTCACTAATTAGCCAACATAGTAAGTTTCTTAAAGAAAGTAAAATTGTTCAATAAAATTAAATGCACTAAGCATTCCACTTGATCATTTTGCTGCCATTTTTTGGAAAGCTTTGTGAAACCACTCTCCCCCCCAGCGTTTTTGGGGAAGCAGATATTCTCGGCAGAATGCACCGACTTCTGTGATTTGGTTCATCTCTGCCCGCAGAGAGCCGCGCTGGAGGCCTGCCACAAAGGCTGGGGCGTCAGCGTGGTGGTGGGAGTCGCTGGTGCCGGTGAAGAGATCGCCACTCGGCCCTTCCAGCTCGTCACAGGGCGCACGTGGAAGGGCACCGCCTTCGGAGGTGATTGTTGGATGGGACGGCACGTTTCCTCTCTCGTTTCCATTTGCAGAGTTTTAATTCCAGGCCGGTTTTCTTGGTTTAACAATTTTCACGGGCTTCTTTTCATACTGAGTTGTTGTATACAAAATTATCTTAATAGAAAAGTTTCACATGCAATCGGTATTTTCTCATGAAGCTCAAAGCCACATTTTACTCAGTAAGAGAAGGAAATTAACACTCTCTTAATGAGGCCATCATTGGGGATAGGGCAGGCAAACGACAGTCATCCATACTGTGTCATGTTATGGAGTTAATAAGTTTCAGGCATTTTTTGCTCATTTTTCTGGAGGGTGCAGTGGTCAATCATACTCTGGCTGAAGAGGACTGATTTCAGCATAACTAATACTAAATCTTAAACGGAAAATGTTAAATTAGACAAAACCTTATAACAAAATTAAAAAGCTGCCAGATGGGTTATTTTTCCCAGGTATGATCCTAAAAGGTGTATGGTTGTTAACCCTTTGTACACCATAAGCGTCTATAGATGCAAGGATGGTTTCCATTTTGGATGCATGGCAGTTAACTGGTTAGGATTGCCTAAGTGTTAACAGGCTTTTTAAGAAATATATCCTTACTATCCTCTTAGGAATAAGATCATATAGCATGAGTTTTGCATAATCTGTGTATCTGTTAACATCCTCTACCTTATGTTATGCCTGCTTTTTTTAAAGTTAGAAGAAAAGATTCAGGAAATATGCTAAAAGGAAGAATTTGGCCAAAGTTTTCCATCTTTATACTACAGAATTTGCTATAGAAATGTCACGCTGACTGAACTCTCCTTTCCTGGAAATATGCTGAACTTGAGGATCTTAGAACAGACTTAAAGCCACGCATGCAACTCAGAGGCATCCTCTCAGGATCCATATGTGTGAGCCCCTTCCACGTCCTACGTGGTTCAGAGTTCCTGTTCAGGGTCAGGTTCTGGAGAAGCCGCACGCAAAATGGAGAGAGGGAGAGAGGCTAGAAAAGAATTAATTTGGGAAATTGGGGGGCCAGGCGGGAGTCCACCTCTAGGGGGAGGACTACTACTGCTCTGGCTTTGGTATTCCTTTTATTAAGGTTATGAGATACACCCATATACTTTAGGCAGGAAATTCCAATAATAGTCAGCAAGAATTTACATATGAAGTCTCAACTAAACAATGAGTAATTAGCTCCGACCATTCAGAGCAGTTAAGGTTGATTAGCCTTCTGGATTCCCTCTTCACATTTCTGGATTACCTTTTCACATTTCTCTATTAGTGACAATGATCGGTTTCTGGCATCCATAGCTGAATTTGAAAGGCCTTCTAAGCCTGGGTGACTGAGCCAGGACAGGTGGTAGGAACCTCTCACTGAACCTCATCCTAGCACAGTGCTGATTGGGAAATAAGCAGGAGCATTTGGGGCCCAATGGTGTTCCTAAAACAGCGGTCGCCAGACTTCTGAAACCACTGGTTGGTGACTGCTGTCCTAAAATATGACCCACAGATGTAAATAGATGTTTTGGTCTAGAGTTGTAGATGTCTCAGTTTTAAAAGAGAAAGAAAAAGTCTCAGTTTGTAGGGGGAAAAATAAATTAGTAGAGGATATAATGAGGGGAAAAAAGCTCAAAAGAGATTTGAAATATGATCCAATGCATCTGTGCTTTAAAAAGTATGAAGGCTGCTTTGATTTATTGCTTCTTTCAATAACAAGTGAAAACTTAAAGCATCTAATTTTCTACGTTGCTTTCAGTTTCACAGTTTTCTATTCTGAGTTGCTATCCCTATTCACTGTTGATTTAACACCAAAGAAAGAGCCATGTAGCACATCAATATTTTTCTTCCTTGTATATAATTATTATGGAAATCTGCTATTGTGGACCTAAAAAATAAGCTTGTTCTAAGATTTACAGAGTTCTATCCTGGGTAGTCTAACAGTCTCAATTGAAACTTAATGACATTTTAGTAAATCAATATAGAAAGAGGAACGAACTAGAAAGGCATTTACTTTTTCCTTAACTAATGATGTTCATTAAATTCTTTCTCTATGCTGATTTTGATGTTTTTCCTTCTTCTGTAATGAAAACATTTATTCTCTTAAATGTCTTTATTTAACCCACAAGGTAATAAGCATACTGTAGAAACTTGCTGAAAAAAATTAATAGATGTATGATTTCTTTTAGGATGGAAGAGTGTAGAAAGTGTCCCAAAGTTGGTGTCTGAATATATGTCCAAAAAGATAAAAGTTGATGAATTTGTGACCCACAATCTGTCTTTCGGTGAAATTAACAAAGCCTTTGAACTGCTGCATGCAGGGGAGAGGTAAGCTGTCCCTTTAGTTGTATATTATGTAAGAGTGATGTGAAGTTTATGGAGGAAAGAGGATAAATATATTAATTTAATCTTCTTAAAAGATACCATTCAAAACCTACATGTATTGTTTTTCTTACAGCATCCGGACTGTTGTGAAGTTTTAAATTCAAAGAAAGTATGTCCATCCTTATAACTGAGTCATGTGAGCTGATTGGAGCAGCCAGGCAGGCTGGGAGAAGCTCTTATAAGTCCACAGCCCCTTAGATGTTGGGTAACCTACTCTAGGGAATAATGTTTTCTGTATAATTAATATTTCTAATCAAGTGGAAGGCTCATAGTATCATAAATCTGTTTTCTGGATGATCCTTGTGAATAATTGCTAGCTCATTAAGGAATTTTTTTAACAAAATAAAAGTAATTTCTATATAAGTGTTTATCTCTGTTCTATGCTAAATTTATGTTCATGGTTCTTTTCCCACTATCTTTATTCTTTAAAGGAAAGATAGAGGAAGCAGGCCAATAGTGAGTTTATGAACCTTGTCTGCTGCTGGCTCAGTAATTTTGGCTTAACTTTTAAGAGTCTCAGGCCCACTTCCTGAAGAACAGATTTCCTTGGCCACAGTGACAAAGTTAATCAGAACCCAAGAAGGCCTTTGTTAGATATCTTCTTGAGGTCAGGAACTGTGCCTTGTTCAAACTTACATACCCACAGTTCCTAGCATGTTATCTAGCTCACAGTGAGCACTGAAACTCATCATTGAAACTACTGTACTTAAGTTGGGGGGTGTGTGTGTGTGCGCGCGCGTGCGCTATAAACTATTTCAATATTTTAAAAATCAGTTATTTATGTACTGAACTTCCAAGTTCTGGGCACTTACTTTGATCAGATCTTCACATCTGGCAAGACACTTGCCCTTCCAGAGGAAGCAGCATCTAGAATTCGATGTCTATCACTCTCTTGCCCATTATGTGTTTTACTATCCCGGGCATACAGTAAGTCCTTGCTTAATGTCAATAGGCTCTTGGCAACTGCAACTTTAAGCACAAGGACACATTACCAAACCAGTTTTCCCATAAGCTAACTGATAGAAACAACAGCAAAGTTCCTCCCGCCTATTTCTGGTCGCAAAAACATCACCAAACTAAAGATTCAACAATGAAATAAATGTGAGCTAAACGTACATTGAAGAAAGATTAATAAAAAATAAATCGGATAATAATGTTCCTCCAACCCAGTTCAGGGTCGTGGGTGGCTATAGCATCTCTGCAGCTTAGGGCTCAAGGAGGGACCCCCCACCCTGGACAGCAAGCCCCCCCCATCTCAGGAAGAGTCCATCAATGTGTCAAGCTTCACAGTTCTTATAAGAAATTGCCACACTCACACACACATGCACTCAGACTGGGACAATGTGAACATGCCATTCACCTCACCTGCACATCCACGCAGACATGGGGAGAAAGTACCAACTCCACACAGACAGTGGTCTCAACTGGGAATCAATTGTTTCTTTCTCATCAACATTACAGCAAAATCAAGTTGAAGAAAATGAGGTTATTCAAGGACCTGCTATACCTCACTGATTGTGCTCCTCAGATATGGGTTCCATTTTTTTTTTTTTTTTTTTTATAAACAGGTTTGTGTGGCAATCCTGTGTCGACCAAGTTTATCAGCGGCGTTTGCTCACTTCAGGTCACATTTTGGTAATTCTCGCAATATTTCAGATAGTGGTTCCTCTAATGGATCTGGGCAAAGTACATTGAAAACCTAGAAAAGATTAATCACTCTAGATGCCATTAAGATCATCCATGACTCATGTGAAGAGGTCAAAATAGTAACATAAACAAGAGTTTGGAAGAAGTTGGTTCCAACCTTCATGGATGACTTTGAGGGTTGAAGACTTCATTGGAGGAAATAACTGCAGATGTGGTGGAACTCGCAAGAGAACTGGAAGATGTGACAATTATTGCAATCTCACATGATAAAACTAATAAGTTACTTTCTAGGAATAAGCAAAGAAAGTGGTCTTAAGATGGCATCTACTACTGGCAAAGATGCTATGAATATTGTTGAAATGTCCACAAAATGAATTAGAATATTACATAAGCCTAGTTGATAAAGCAGCAGCAGGAACTGAGAGGATTGGCTCCAATTTTGAAAGAAGTTTTATAGGTAAAATGTCATCAAACAGCATCCAGTACTATAGAGAATTTATGAAAGGAAGAGTCCATCAATGTGTCAAGCTTCACAGTTCTTATAAGAAATTGCCACAGCCACCCAACTTTCAGCAACCACCACCCTGATCAGTCAGTGGGCATCAGTGAGGAAAGACCCTCCACCAGCAAAATGATTACAATTCTCTGAAGGCTCAGATGGTGGTTATTTTTCAGCAGTGCTTCTAATTATGTACAGTGTGTGTGTTTTCAGACATAATGCTATTGTACTTAATAGATTACAGTATAATATAAACATAACTCTTATATGCAACTTGGAAACCAAAAGAATGTGATTTTATTGCCTTGGTCTAACACTGAACTTATACCTCAGGGGTATACCTGGACATATCCATAAACCCTCTCATCTTCAGTATCGTTATGCATGTTTTAAACTTGATACTGTCTCATTCTGCAGCTTTAACTTTTCATTCATTGTATGATTAGGCCGTAACTTTGTGCTTAATCTCTGTTGTATGTGAAGTTCTCATTAATTACAATCCTATATAATAAAAGTAATATGCAAATTGACCATCACTCCAACTCAAGATGGCCACCCCCATGTGGACACAATATGGTCGCCACAAGATGGCCAGCAGGGGAGGGCAGTTGTGGATGATCAGGCCTGCAGGGGAGGGCAGTTGGGGGAGAGGGGACCCAGCCAGCATGGGAGGGCAGTTAGGGGTGACCGGGCTGGCGGGGGAGGGCAGTTGTGGGGAATCCAGCCAGCAGTGGGGGCAGTTGGGAATGACTGGTCACCCACTCCCCAACTGCCCTCCCTTGCAGGCCTGGTCCTCCCCAACTGTCCTCCCCTGCTGGCCCGATCACCCACAACTGCCCTCCCCTGCTGGCCATCTTGTGGCAAACATATTGTGTCCACATGGGGGTGGCCATCTTGTGAGTTAGAGTGGTGGTCAATTTACATATTACTTTTATTATATAGGATTGTTGCAAGATATTGTAATGAATGAATGAGAACTTCATACACAACAGAGATTAAGCACAAAATTACAGCCTAAACATACAATGAATGAAAAGTTAAAGCTGCAGAATGAGACAGTATCAAGATAAGAGGGTTTATGGATATGCCCAGGTATACCCCTGAGGTATAAGTTCAGTGTTAGACCAAGGCAATAAAATCACATTCTTTTGGTTTCCAAGTTGCATATAATTTAAAAAGTATTTAACAACAACCCATGGTTTTAATCTAACCAAAGGATATATCAATGCATGACATACTTTTGATTGATGTGGATTAATTGCTCCCAAAAGGTTGTGTTTCTGATTAAGCAAATTTAATTGAAAAGTGGAAAAGTAGAAGTATGGTCTGGGTTTCCTTTTTAGATCTTTGTGCATGTGAAGGGCAAGACAGTGTAACCTACCTCTCATTTAGCCAGAGGGCTGGAGAGACAGTGGGGACCCAAGTGATCCTGAACTATTTATTATCTTGGGGAAATTAAAACTAGCTTCTACCCCTGCAAGTAGAAAATTGTTCAATCTGGTTTGGTTTAGCCCAACCTTCCAGGACAAAGCATGACATTGCCATGGGCAGTTGCAATAACAAAATGGGCACATAGGGTACTATTGGAGAGCTAATAATTCTTTTAAAAAATTTTTATTTCCAATTTTCTACTATAAGGATTCTTGGATCATGGGACTATCGGTATAAAGTATTCTTTATTCAGATCCTTTTAATACATCCTCTTGGGTGGCATCTAGAATGTCATGTATGTTGCTGAACCAAAGTTTTTGGAGGAAAATATAGATTCAGCACAGGACTAAAAACCATTCACTATATGCATGTCAGCAAATCTATCCTGGTTGTCCAAAATTAGGATTCTGCCACCTTAGAAATGTTGGAAATTTTTTAAAAGTATCTTGGACAAAAGGTATATAATCTACACTAATAAAAGAGAAACATGCAAATTATCATCACTCCACTACGCTACTAGCTAATCAGAGTGGGTATGCAAATTAACCTGAAATCATGGTGGCAGCAGCAGGAACTGCTCCGGGTCAGAGAAGTTGGGTGCCAGCACCTGAGACTGGCTGCAGCCAGGGAGACAAAGAAGCCACCTGCCCCCTGATCCCAGGCTGCAGCCAGTCAAAGAAGTCGCCCACACTGCATCCCAGGGAAGATGGAGAAGCCATCCACCTGTGGTCCAGGCACCAGCACCTGCGACTGGCTACAGCCTGGTAGACGGAGAAGCCGCCCACCCCACAGTCCCGGGCACCAGTTCCTGTGGCCCAGGAGAGAGAAGCCACCCACCCATGATCCTGGGCACCAGCACTTGCGGCTGCAGCCCACACAGCCACCAGCCCACCATCCCCTGTAACTGCAGCTGGCCTGGGCGCCTATGGCTGACCAGAGGGAGAGAAGCCCGGATCCCGGTGCCTATGGTCAGCTGGAGGAGGGAATCCTGGGTCCCAGATGTAGAGCTGAAGCAGAGATAGGGGCAATCAAGCCAGCAGGGGAGCAGTTAGGGACAATCAGGCAAGCAATTAAGAACCAGCATTTTTGGATTGTGAGAGGGACATCCAATTGCTGGTTATCCTCTGAGGGGTCCCAGATTGGAGAGGGTACAGGCCAGGCTGAGGGACATGAATTTCATGCACCAGGCCACTAGTTTTAACATATATGGCTATAACTTCCACTGTATATTTCATGAAAACTAGTAAAATGTATTTTTAAGGATCTAAAATATTACAATACTTAGGACCTTAAACAGCTTAATTTTTTTTAAAAATAAATTTTATTGTTCAGATTATTACAAATGTTCCTTTTTCCACCCCCCCCCCCCACCATTGCATCCCTCCACCAGGTTCCCACCCCACCCTCAGCCCTTTCCCCACTCCCCATTGTCCTCATCCATAGGTGCACAGTTTTTGTTCAGGCTCTTCCCACACCCCCACTCCCCTTTTCCCCAAGAATCGTCAGTTCACTCCCCTTCCA